AAGGGGTTGTTGCAGGGGGGTCCTGGAGCTGAGGAAGGGGGGGAAAGGGAGTCCCAGTGTTGGAGAGGGGGTGCAGGTGGGTCCTGATACCCAGGACTGGGGGTCCAGAGAGTCCCAAGGTCAAGGCAAAGGGAGTGTGGAGTCTGGGAGAGGTGGGATGGCCGGGAAAGGGGGTGCAGGGGGGTCCTGGTCCGGGTTAATGGGGTGCAGGGGGGATCTGGTGCACAGGAATGGGGGGTTCAGGGGGTTCCTGGGACACCCCAGGACCGCCCTGCAGGATAAGCCAGGAGTGGGGAACTGGGGAGACCCTGAGATTTGGGGGTCAGGGTGGTCCCAGGGTCAAGGGAAGGGAGAAACTGGGAGAGCTGTGGGAACTGGGAAGGGGCTTCAGGGGATCCCGGGGTCAAGGAAAAGGGGGGCTGGGGCTGAGGTGACAGGCATGGTCAGCCAGGAATGGGGGGCTGGGGGTCCCCAGGGTCAAAGAAACACGGGGATGCAGGGACTGGGAGAGGTGGGATGGTGAGGAAAGTGGGGACAGGGGGGTCCTGGAGTCAAAGAGAGAGGCGTCTGGGGTCTGGAAAACCGGGACTGGCATGGCAAGGGGGGACCCAGGCCAGGAGGATTTGGAAGAGGAGGAGGAACAGCTGGTGGGGGCTGCTGAGACCCCCGGAGTGGGGAGAGCAGAGAGAGATGGTCCCAGACCTGTGGGACCCCCAACAGCCTGGAAGTTGGGAAGGGGGGAACCTGCAGAGAGGAGAGTCTTGGGAGTCCAGGACCCCTTAAATGGGGACCTGGAGAAAGGGTACCTTGGGACCCCTGGGACACTGAAGTGGAAAGCTGGGACAAGGGCGAGTCCTGGGATCCCCGGCAGCCCAGACAGGGGGACCCCAGAGAAAGGGGAGCCCAGAGAAGGGGGACCTCTGGGATTCCCAGGATCTCCAGCAGTCTGGAGAGGGGGAGACCCCAGAGAGGTGGGACCCCTGAGAACCCCCAGCACCCCAAAGCAAAGAGTCAGGGGAGAAAAGACCCCTGGGGCCTCCAAAACCCCCAACATCCCTAAGCAGGGGGACCCTGGAGAGGAGGAAACTCCAGGACCCCCAGCAGCCCAGAGAGGGCAGGGACCCTGGAGAGTGGGGTGCACAATACATGTGGGACCCCCAGCAGCCCAAACAGGAGGGACCCCCCAGAACCCCAAAGTGGAGAGACCTGAGAGGGGAACCCCAGGAAGACTTTTTTCGGTCTGAATCTTGGAGTTCTGGTTTGGTATTTTTTTGCACTGAAACTTGGTGTTTTGGAGGTTTTTATGGTCAGATGATGCCCGGTGAGTTCTAAAAATGGACTTGGGCAGGAGGAACCCCCAAGCCAACACGTTCAGCCCTTGTTTCCCCCCAGCAGGATTTGTCCTTCCCAAAGCTTGGGCAGATGGAGGAGAAGGCTGCAAGGAAGAGGAAAAAGCCACGGGTCCCCCAGGCAGGTGAGGAGGAAGTCAGTGCCCCTTTGCCCCTGTCTTGTGGTGCCTGTGGGGGCCAAATTTGGGGGGATGTCCTTGGCCTTCCCTCTGGGCTGGAGGCAAATCCCCTGCCTGTCCTTCTTCCTTCCTGCCCCAGGCCCCGAGCTGAGGACGGAGAGCACGGAGGACAAATCCCCCCGGCAGAGCCTGGTGGGAGAGGCCGTTTTGAAGGGCTCCCCG